TCTGGCTTGCCGCCACATGCAGAGCACACGACAAGCTTCTTCGCCTGGCCAGCGTCGAGCTGCATGCCAGCGCCCAAGATATTCATCACGCGCTCGGTCGGTCACTCGGCTGGAAATTTTGAATGCTATCGCCGCGGCCGGTTCATATTTTTATCCGGATAACAAAATGGTATACGGATTCTACCCTGTCCGATAGGGTCCTAACGAAGCAACTCGACGGTCTGGTGCGACTTCCTACAATGCCAGGATTGCTTACTGTCAGGACCAAGTCCTCGCCATATTGCGCTAGCTCTGGAGCTGATAGAAGAGCGATATCCCGCCTTGCTACTGTGCCATTTGAGTCGTTTAAAGGGCTGTTCAGGAGCGAGTCGAAACAAGACTCGCAACCAACGGTTTTATGGTTCCAGATTTGCCCCGTTGACTGCTAAAAGCTCGGTAAAAATAATGACGCCTCTTTTTAGGAGTTGAAAAACTTTTTGACGCGGCGAGACATATTTTAGCAAAAGCCAACCAATCTAAACAGTGGGGAAGACTTCCGGGAAGACTTGAGGATTCTCGAGCCGATGGCGCGTTACTACCTACTTACCTACAAGTACCTCGACGCACTCGACCTTCAGCACCGATTTCTATTGCGAAAGGGTGGTCGGGTAACGTTCACGTTATTTGTGTATAGGATGGCCAATGGGCCATCCACTGCTGCTCCAAGGGCAGCTAGTGATCACGACGCTCACTTTAGCATTTGCTTTGTATACAACACGCTTGGCTTTATTGAGGACTTGCCGCATCCTATTGTCTTGCGTCTCGCTGGTTTTTGTTAAAGTACCTCGCTCTCGCTTGAAGTGCGGAGCACAGCACAAAAGATGAGCTGGGACCATCCACACCCTTGATTTGCACTCGTCGCGTGAGTGTAGTCGTCCTTTTAATGGCATAGCGACGAAGAACTACCAAGCATCATGACGCTTTATACAGGCGATTCAAAATCACACACATATTGAACTTTGCGTCGTCGTTCGTCGGTCCCTTGCGCGTCGTCCACATATTGGTGACTTGCTTGACTACACGGTCGCGTGCGATCCATGCGAATATTTGAAAACGGGTACAAATAGAAGGGAAGGACCCCTTACCCTCTTGGTGGTTATCTCTGCTGATGCGTGGGGGGTTACTCGCATCTTCATTCGCCAGTGAAGCGTCACGTTTAGATGAGACAGCAAGTTTTGTTCTGTGTAAAGCTTGGATCGTCGATCTACATTGGGCTAATCATACCGTCGCCGCTTCTACATTACGTGCAAAAAAAGAACCTACAGGACCGCGGGCGAATGTCTATCTGTGTAAACCAGTGTGCAGCATATAGCGTGAAACACCATTCGTTCCATAATTCTTTAAATCCGATCATTTCTGAGATCCTATATCTAGAGAACGTTATGGCTTGTTGTGTCGTGCATATCCATGAAGGATATTCATCCGACGGGATCCTCAAGTTATCAATAGCCAGCACTATTTAATAGGTTCCTAAAACCTGGGCTATGTGTGCTGGTTGGTCCTGTAAGCCCTTTGACGAAGCAGGATATCCCCGACATACTTGTCAGGCGGTGTATTACCGGGATTACCACTATGGGTTTCTTTTTCTATGTGGTCCATCGTCGAGCTACTTGATCGACCAGCAGCGTCCACGGTTGTGAGCCAGACCCGTGTCGCGGAGTTCCACTTGGATGCGACCGTAGGCCGACCTGGAGCTGGAGCACCCGAAGGTACACAGGGAGTGCTCACTTACTCGCGTGGTGATGGAAGTCGTTGGCTTGGCGACCGACGCGAAATGTCGGAGGGTCTGATGTTTATGCAGGTTGAATGCTCGTGGTGCCGACACTGGTCGAGTTGTTTTGATTTGGCGTCTTGCTCGGTCGTCGTACATGAAAATGATTTCGTTTTGGCGCTGGACATGTTGACTTCTTTTTCTTCTGGAGGCGTGGAGCTGGGCGGTTGGCTGGATGTATTTGTTTTCGATTTAGCGTCGTGGCGCTTTGGATATGTTTTCTTTGTTGAGGTCGATGTCTTGGGTTTCGGGGTCGGATGATATGGATCTTGCTGCTGAAGGTTGATGGCTAATGGCGTTGGCGGTGGCGGCGGCTGGCTGATATGTGCTCTGTGCTCCGTGCTATTTGCTCGGTGCTCGGGGCTCATGTTGGTTCTGTCCCCGAAATACTAACGTTATATCTTTCTTGCAGCAAAGTGTTGGGCTTTTAGGCTGCGGTAATGCTGTCACGCCGTGGATTATTATATTACCCGGTGGAGCGTTGGAGCATGTCCGGTAGCGCCGACCATTGCGACAAAGTCGATCTCGTTGAGCGTCGGGTGCGAAAAGTAGCAATTCGGGAAGACGGGGATGTTGAACTGTCCGGGAAATGCGATTGAGACGTTCGGGTGCAGCGGATCTAAGGACGGGCGTACATCGGGCGCACCAACTTTCACATCCGTGCCAATCGCCGAGACGATCGTAAAGACCGAAAACACTAACGCCAAGATGAAAGACGTGCCTAAGATCTGTGGGAGCCACGTCCGGAGGGCCGACACGAAGAGGAGGAGGCTGTAGCCCGTGATGGGTCAGCCGATCTGGAAGACGTAAAAGGATACGAACGCCAGAAGACGCACGGCAGCATCAGCAAGATCTTGGGGCTTGCGTGCAGCTTTTGGTACGCATCCTCCTTGTTCACAGTCCCATCCTAACGGTTTCTCGGTAGGACTACCTTACTCATAGATTGATACAAACGCACCGCCTTGTCCCAACCTAGTGGTTGGAGTGCTGTGTAGATATATGAATATTCAGTGCTTAACAACTATACGAGGCGACTACTGCCACATTAAGGCAGTAGACCGCGCGGAAGCCAAAGTCTAGGAACCAAAAGAGGTTGACCCACTTGTCCTTCCTGTGCGGCGCGCGGACCTTAGCCTTCACGCGCTCGCACGCGGTGCGTGAGCACGAGGTACCGCAAGTGCTTGCTGCGCGTCGTCCACAAGTGCCCGATGACCCCGACGCAAAGGAACGACAACGCCATTGAAGTTCACGAGAGTGGTCATCGTCTCGACGAGTGACGCGGCAAAGGTGAGGAGTGACATGCCGTATCCTGCAGGGACAGAGGTACCCTCAGTCGAACTTTCTTTCAACACAATCAACAAAATCTAGTCAACATGTCGTCCATCGAAATCAACTCGACGATTTCATTTCAAACGGAATCGGTTTGGATGGTTCGTGCGTCGCGCCTGTTGGTAGCACACCGAGATTGAATAGAATCGCTGCGCGCTGTGCTTCAAGTTGCAGTCGGTGCTGATCCGCTTTGTAGAGCTGGATGGCAATGTGGCGCAATCGAGGGGCATGGTTCCAGCAGCTAAAGACGCGATCGAACCAGGTGATGGGCGGCTCGCGCCCGTCGTGTGTCTGCATATAGTGGCGGCACGCGTCGATGCTTTTGCCCCGGCGCTTGATGTGGTACCACTTCCAGCGCCCAAGCGTTTTGACGCGCACCTTGTTTTGGAAGCGAAAGATCGGGTAGAAAATAAGTCCAAACTGGATGCTAAGAAGGCGGAACTCGCGCCGGTTGAGCTGCTCGTCCTTGTCCTCGTCAAAATACTCCATCGCGCGCATAAAGTTGCCGTTGAAGAAGGTGTCGGTGCGCACTTGAATCGCGCTGCAGAGGTTGCGAAACTCATTGCTGTCGAGTGCGCCTACACCAGCCAACGCCTTTTTCATTGCAAAAGCACCTTCATAGATCCAGGCGTACCTGACTCGTCCTCGTCAAACGTCTCGAAACAGAACTCAATCACGCCCTCGTTGTCCATGCAAGCAAACTTGACCACAATCTCGACAAAGTCATCAAGCGAAAGCTTCTTCGGATCGCTCCGCTGTGGCGCGAGGCGCAAGAT